TACTCATATTTATGTTTCTATTATTTATACCTAATTGTAATTGATTACAATAGAACACGTCTATTTTAATCTTTAATTTCTCTCTTTCTCTCTCTATAAATTATACATAGGATGAAAAAAAAATTAAAGTTTATATCTGTTCCATTGTAATGCATGTATGGCGCTTATATACAAAATATAATAAATTATGTAAAATAAAAATTTGTCAATACAACTCCATAAATTATTGCTATTATTTATTATATTGAACTATATTTAACTATAATATAAATGTATTTACAGAGTTTCTTCTCTTGTATTATTACTTCATCAAATATAAAAATGAAGAAATTTGTGCAATTCAATGTTAACTGTAATCATCAACAAATGTTAAAGTTGAAATTGCTTGATGAATCAACAAATGTTATGTATAGTATAGAAGTAGGAAAAGAAGATTACAATCGTGCTCATAAAGGTACAAAAAAGGATTTTAGTATTAAATATTTAACTGCAATGTGTGACAAAATATTTTCAAAATAATTTATGTGTTATTTTTATAGATAATGATTTTGCCAACGTGCTTCTGGAGAAAGCGAAAGCATTACGTTCAAATTACAAAAACTCTACACCTAGTAACTGTAGTACCTCTCCTGTAGTACCTTCAACAGTTGATAACAATAAACCAAGTTGTTCGAAGAGTAGTGTTCAATACGAGAATACTTCAGATATTGAAAACTATAATGAAGACAATTATAATCAAGCTGAACGAGAGGAGCTTAATATAGGTGTGTTTAAATCGCAAGTACAAAAATAGAGAGTACAATAACATAAGTAAGATTTAATAAATATTTGGTTTTTTTTAGATTCAAATGAGGGGCGATGGACACACGAAGCCACGCTTTTGCTAATCTCATTGTATAAAAAAAACGCGTATATGCTAGAGAAAGTTCCTCAAAAAAAAATGTGGACGCAAATTTGCCAACGTATAAAACATGAACAAAAATATAACTTTACGGTTAATCAATGTTATAATAAAATGGATACTTTAAAAAGACGATATCGTCAGATTATTGATCATAACGCTCAAAGTGGAAATGACAGGAAACAATGGATATATTTAGAGGTAATAAATAAGTTATAACAAAATTAACATTGAATATTACGAATAATTTTAAATTTAGTTACCATTACATTTTATAATTTAGAAATAGAAATTTTTAAATATAAAAATGAACATGTTTTAGCCATTAGATGAGATCTTTCGCGACAAACCTTGGGTAAAACTATTATCTGTAGCAGGATCGCATACACGAGATCCTGAAAAATCTTTATTTGATGATAATGAACAGGAGCCATCAACTAGTAAGTAATCAATAAGTAACTAAAAATGTACAATATTTCTTGTTGTTATTTAAGTTTGTAATTCACAATATTTTTTAGAACAAAGGAAGATCTCATTAAATGAAGAAAGAGCTAATTATTTACGGGCATCACTCGAAGAAAAAAGAATAAAAAGAGAAGAAACTGCTAATTATAGAACAGAAAAATTAAAAATATTAAAAGAACTTAAAGAAGTTTTTAAAAAATGAAGTAAACATTTATATTACACTAAAAGTACAAATTATGAATACGTATATAGTTTTTAAGTATTAGTAGTAAATATTTTTGTTGAGTATACGTTTTTATTAAGTATGAATGAATTTCTTTTATTTTTATTTTTTTAAATATCGATTATTAAGTAGAATTATTAAGTATGAGTTTAAGTTTAAATTAAATATAAGTAAGAACTATGTAAAAAAAGAAGTGCATCAAATATTAACAATAATATTAATATATATATAACATATTCATTAACGACGTTAAAGTTTTAAAAAGTGATATTAAGGCCCGATTCCATAACTTTAACTGAAGTTTAACTAATATGTAATAGAATAATTCATTTTATATAAAGCACTTCTATTGGATATTGTTAGCTAAAGTTCAGTTAAAGTAAGTTGTGGAAATGAGCCTAAGTGATAAAAAGTGATTTAATGAATATACAAAAAATAAAAGTGCAAAGTATAAGTTCTATTAAATATAAGTTTTTACTACGATTAAGACTATGCAAAAAAGAATGCTTTAAATATTAACAGTTTATTTACTAATGAATGTATAGTATGACATATACTTTTGACTTATTAGCGAGGTTAAAATTTTAATAAAGTTATGTAAACATTGGAGTATACAAAAATAAAAGTTCAAACTATAAGTTTTGATTAAGTATAAATTTTCATG